TCTTCATTTTTAACCAGGCTACTGGGATGTGGAGAATTAACTTAATTTGTTAAAGGTTCCTTTTAACACCCTTAAAAAGTAGGTTCTTTGTGTGGAGTCCTCGGGAGTGCGTCGAGAGAATCGCGCTCGCTCAACCAGGAAATTGCGTATTTTATTTGGAATAAAATATGTTATCGCGATAACCGTTCGGTTAAAAAGTGTAGCCGTCGTTTATTTCTGATGACTGACATCAAATGGAAAAGAATAATATCATCGACTAATAAAATCCTAGCACACGGTGTTTTGATAAATTTCATTAACGTACCATTGAGCTATTATTGTAAAACTCATATTGATAGTTTTATTCTTTACTCTTAAAAAGTGCAAAAGACTCCGAAGGTGGTGCGTGAGGCCGCCCCACGGTCCCATCAAGGTAAGATCTTTCTTGTCTTAAGTTTGAACAATTGGACTTGGATGTCGAGAAGTAGTTTTACAGAAAAATTATGTAGTTTGGTGTAGTTAATTAACTTACATGTAATCGTTTTTATACGACTATCATATACATGTATTTACGGTTTCACAGTGAGTTCTTTTGTGCGTTTTCCAGCCGCGGAGTGATTACTCTTCGTTTTGTCAAGAAAGTAGTCATAGTTTTGTGAATGATGATTGACCTCAAATGATAAAGAGGGGAAACTTCAACCAATGACAATCCTGCATGGCACGTGATAAGAAAAAGAAATCAACAAAGTGTTTTTAAACTATAGTATCGTACAAGGCGAGGTAAAAAAATTCACACAGTTTACTTTTGTTTTACGCAGAAAAAGATTTGCAAATTAGTGTGGAAGTTTTGCAAACCCCGTGCTGGCTAGTCCTTAACTTGTGATTGAAACCCCAACGGCACTGGAAAGCTGACGTGTCCCATTAACAGCAAACTGGATGTAACGAAATTAAATGTAGTTGTGAAATTAGTGTCGGTGTTACAGTTGATTGAAATAAAGCATTGAAAAGGTATCTTGTGGTTGTACTCAAGTACAAGGAACATAGCCTGCAGGAGGAAGGGTAGGCAAGGGGTCAACCTGTCCCTTGGAATCATTTTTTGACTCGCCTCAAATCTCGGTCAGTTGAAAGTCCAAGTCGATTACAAAGAAAAATTCGCCTGCATTGCAGGCTACAAGGAATGTAATAAAACTTTTCATTGAGAGAGCCAATGCTAATCACCCTACTATCAAGTTTACTACTGAAGTATCACCAATAGAAACTACATTCTTGGACACAACAGTCTATAAGGGAGAACGATTCGAGAAAAAAGCATCCTCGATGTTCGTACACATTTTAAGTTACTGAAACCCTTCAGTGCACACACTTCAATAGCTGTCACCCAGCAGGCGTTAAGAAAGATTTTGTCAAAGGAGAGGCTCTCAGGGTTGTAAGAAGAAACTCTTTTAGAAAAGTTAAACATAAAAGGAAGGAAGCTCTGAAGCAAAACTTGAGAACGGTGAAAAAGATTCCAACCTTTGTCACGCAATTTCAACCGTCATTTCCAAACTTGAAAAACATATATACTTATGGAAAAATGGCATCTAATCCAGAACCAGCCGTGACTAAGAGAGAAGGAGCCTCCCTTGCTCTCTTATGGAAAAGGGAAATCACTAAAGAGACATGCTTGTTAAAACAAAACTTTAAACTTATTAGGCTTTGAAAGACACAATGGACGCGCACAGGAGTTGTACAGGTCTAAAAAAGCCAAGAAGACTTACTGGTTTGATTATTTATTGAAATTAGAAAGACACTGCGTTGACTTCAGTTCTCGTGGCTTCTTTGTTAATAAATACCCATCAAACTTTGACAAATGTTTTGTTATAAATTCTTTGGTTTAACGCGATGGCCGGATAGGAAACTTTGAGATGTCGAAGAATCAATCACTCGGCCTCAGAGCAAGGTTTGAGGAATTTATATTGTTTCAAAAAACGCAGGGTACTTTTCAAAGCCGGAATGGAAAAATTCACGATCGGCTTGGTTTCATGATTAGCAGGCAGCGGGAAGAACTTTTCCCTAAAATTGGAATTGTAGGCTCGTTCTATATACCTCAGAGCAATTTGTGGTCGAAATTCCAAAACAATTTGACAGCTGTTAGAATTCTAAATGACTTTCTAGTTATGGACTTCTGCTCCAATAATTTCTCTGACATTTATTTGGCGATTATATAAGTAAAATCGGATTATTTACCATGTATTGTTGAATGATAGTTAAAAAAAAAGCCGATTGGACATCGGGGCGGAGCCTTCACGTACACTGTAATTTTTGGGGAGTTATTATAACTCCAAAAATGAATTAAAAATTTTAGGTACAGGATAACCCCTTTTTTGGGGTTATTTTAACTCCTAATTTAACTCCGAATTTGGGGTCATTTTTACTCCTGAAAAAGAGTTCTTTTTACTCCCAGTCTTGGAGTTAACATTACTCCGAAATGGGGTTACTTGTACTCCTTACAGGGGTTGTTTTTACTCTTTTTGGAGTTAATTTAACTCTGAAAGTGGAGTAAAAATTTTAGGTACAGGATAACTCCTTTTTTGGGGTTATTTTAACTCCTCAATATCTGGGGTCACTTTTACTCCTGAAAAAGAGTTCTTTAAACTCCTTTTTGGAGTTAAAATAACTCCACGAAAAATAACTCCACTGTAAGGAGTTAAATTAGCCCCACTAGAGGAGTTATTGTAACTCCCTGAAAATTACAGTGTATAAAACTTTGTTAAGTGCCTTCACACCCCGTCCCCGGGACCGCATTCGGGCCCCGTTCTGACGACCTACACGCTAAATAGAGAAATTGAATAACCCGTTTAAGATTTAAGACCTTGAAAAGCATATCCCGTTAAGTGGCACATGCCCGTTTAGGCTAAGTAAGGGAATGCCCACCCCCCGGACCGAGCTGTAATATGTACCCCTTGAAGAAGAAATAATTAACAATTAATGAATGAGGCTGAGTATCTTATGAAGAGTTATGGAGATCGAGGAGGCCTTTATCCGTCGAGGCCGTAGGCCGAGGCGGTTAACACCCTTCGAGATCTCCATAATTCTTCATGTGATACGAAAGCCGAATTCAATAATTGTTTTATTATTCATTCAAAATAGTTCCAAGTTTAGAAACATAGCTAAAACAAGCTTACCTGCATCGATGTTAAGTTTATCTTCGATAGTTTAAGTTTAGGTTTGTCTAGCTCCGCAAATATTCTCCAAATAGCAGATGTCGCCCTCCGAGTTTTCTTCTTGCTGTGTTTGCTATATATGTTTTTAGCCATTATTTTGCCTACTTACAGCTGTAGTTCTTTCTCATGAAACGAGTAAGGTGTCTGCCACTTTAGTTTTTACAACAAAAACAATTCAATCTCGTCCCAGGTCTTTTCGGTTAACGGCGCATTAACCTGCAGAAGGCTGCATTATTGACGTCATTTCCTCGTTAAACACAAATTTCTTCTAAATTTGGACAGCAGTAACTGGTAATGGTGAATTATGCGTGTGCTTTTAGCCAATCAGATTTGGGGAAATATTTTGAATGAATTGACGTTAAGGACTAAAAGGGTAAAAATTGGGTAAATGAAGCTACTCTAGACATATATTTTAAAACTTATTGATAAGGGTGGGTATGCCAAGATAGTTATCGTCTCGAAGTCATTTTGTTTCCCCTCAAATCATTTCTAAATAATTTTACCCTCTATAACTCTGGTCATGTTTTGAGCGCTTAAATTAAAGGCAGTAAAAAACAGTGTCCTGACGTCAGAATGTCTAACGTGTAACAGCTTTACTAATATCACAACAGTAGTATAGGATATGGGAGTGCGAGAACATTTTCAATATTATGGATTTGACCTTGGGTTTTTGATGACGTCAGCATTTTTCTCCGAATTGGATTCCAGGAATTTGGCCTTGGGAATCCGGTTTGAACCGGTTTTGGGCGGTTTGATTTTAATAATATCTAAGCCCAACCATATCACCATACCGAAATAGTTTGCGACTATATATTATTTTGGTTTTTGAGTCAGGATCTGGCTGATAGTTTTGATATTTATCCTCATTTGTGAATACAACATGATAATGATTATTGCTTATTTTTTTTAGTCCAAAATCTAATCTGTCTATATTTGCTTTTGCAATCATATCCAATATTTTGTCGACTATTGGATTTTCAATTATTTTCTTTTTATAAGTATCTAAAATAGGACCTAGATAAAAGCTCTTACCGCATTTATAATCAGCTTTTTCTATTGCTTGCTCAGGCTCAATGAGTACTGATCCTTTGTATCCTTCACAAGTATGTTTTATGATGCCAGATAGTAGTAACAACCCACGGCACGAAATTCTTGGTTCTTTTAGCTAGTTTAATTGCTATAATGCTGATTTTAGAGCGGTTTTCGTGTGCTTTTGTACGACTTTTGACTTAATATTTGAGACAAGGCCCAATTCACTGGTTAATTTTTGTTTACTAAGGCTTACTCTACCATTTGGAGGAATATACATAGATATCAAACTAGTGCCTCCTGATAGAGATTGTTGTTTGGCTAAAAGACGGATAAAATCTTCCATATATATATTGTATATAGTTATGGAATATAAAAAAGGTGTGTTAAATAGATACTGACTTGTTTTTAGTTTGTGGTAATTTTATTTTTCAATTCGGTGGATGACTTTATAATGCATTTTTAGTGTGTCCTTATTAAGGAATTGTTTGATACAATATTTACTCGGTACTCTGATACCTTTCATGTATTCATGAATATTTTTGCTAATCTTATCATAATCATTACTGAGTATAAATGCATAGCCATTATTAACGTGCTTCTTCTTCATCTCCTTTTGGGCTTCTGATACATAGTAGTTACCTGTAGGACTCTTGAATTCTATGCCCAGGCCTTTATAATCTTTGTGATAATTAAGCACCAATAGATCAGGCTGTCCTCTCATATATCCTTTTTTATATGAATCCAGTCTTTTATTCTCAGTATCCTGATTCTCCCCCAGTCCTGCTACTAATATAGTATCTGGATAGTATTCCTTATGAGGTCCACTACTTTATAATGGAGGTCAGTCTCATTACCAATCATAATCATCTTATTCCAGGGACTATGAAATAGTTTGTATTGGCTATATTTACGGATAGATGGGAGGACAGTGGTGAAAACCCATTGACGGAATCTTTTAGCAAGTTCTAATTTGGAGCTAAATACTAGTTCATAAAAGCCGGGCCCATTGATAAAAGTGTACCATCTACCTTGTTGGACCGGAGGGGGTGAAACGTCCACGCCAGCTTTTTGAACCTGACCCGGCGTTTCACCGGGGCAGCTTTTGGGTTGTATAAGATGAATCATTTTGTTTTCTTTTGATACATGCCTTTTTAATGCATGGCGATTATCACTATATCCAAGGATCTCAGCAACATCTTTTCCTCGGAACCAAACATTTTGCTTATTATCAATATATGAAGTCAGCTCGATATTCATATCTTGATTGATATACTTCTTTTCTATCATGCTTATCATATATATAGATTACATAAATATTATCATGCAGACCAAAAATATGATAAGCATGATAGATTAAAAAGTATGGTGGGTCTGAGGTGCCGTTACAGCGCATTAGACCTGACGCCCTTTTTCAGGACATCAACAAAGCTGTCCACAAAACGTGGACGCTCTCTCTGAGAATAACCCGTATAGTTTACGGGAAAAGATTTTCGGTCCTCCTTATCAACATGTTTTCTTTTACTTCTCCTCCTCCTCTTCCTCTGTTTCAAAGATTGCACCTAGCTATAGGACGCCGGTTAATGACATTTCTAAGTAGTAGGGGAGGGACCGGTTACGCCGTTTCTTTGCGGGGGAATTCCATTAACTTTCGGGGGAATACATTAACGTAGATGACGTCATACATCTCATTAAGATAGGATGATGTCATACTTTAAATTAATGCCGATGACATCATGCATTTCATTAAGATAGGATGATGTCATAGTTTATTTTTAGCTGGCTGACGTCATACATGTCATATAGATAGGATGATGTCATAATTTATTTGTAGCTGGCAAGGAGCAAGTGACATCAGAATTTCCTAGAGTTGACGTCGTCAAAAAATGTTGAGATCATAATCTTTAAACAGAAAAGTGATTTTTATATAATTAGCCATTTGCTATAGTCTTCTGATTAGATATTGTTTGTTATAGTCTTCTGATTGGATATTGTAGAAACTGTCATGTGTTCAAAATAAAAGCGGGCAAATTTTGAATGTGTTATCTTTGCAGATTATACTAAATGAAAAATCTTTAATCATTAAATTATTTTCACTAAAAATCGGTAATAAGCAAAACCAAGACACGGACGTTAACTGAAAAATCTTTACTTCAAAAAGAAGGAAAAAGGAGGTTAAGGGAATGCGAAATCGTACTAATTTTTCGGGCAAAACATGAAAACGAGGTCGAAGCTCAGCGAAGCGAAAAACTGCCTATCAAGCAAAAATGACATTTTTTGTTTACTTGAATCTGTAGAAAGTATTACACAGGGTATCAAAATTCTATAGAAAACAACAGGTGGTTCTAAAGTAAACGCTATATGACTCTTTTGGTTCTTAAATCAACTCCATTCTTGTTCCTAATGAGTGGAAAGTCTATTTATAAAAAAGAGGGACTAAGAGATGCGATCCCCTAGTAACACAGGTCTTCTTATTTAGCGCTAAATATCGGATACATAACAAAACACACACACATACAAAAAGTGGAACTGAAAACTCTCTACTTCAATTTTGACTCACCATTACAAAAGCGTTTTCTCCGTTCCATCTCGAGGAAACGATTAACTATTGAAATCTCAGCGCTTGATGAGCTTATGGTTTTGTCAATTTAGGCTCCGTTGGCGTTAGTCAGTTAATTATGCGGGCTAACAAGGCTAAAGTTGAATACAAATTAGTTCATCTCTACAGCTAGACCCAAGGGAGCACCTTGACTTATTATTGTAAAAGCACAAACAATTGATAACTTAACAGGGATCAATTTAAACACGCTACAAATAAATTGACAAGACACGAGATACAGTTTTAAAAACTTTATTGAAAACCAGTGACAAAAAGAGTCAAATAAACAGCGATTTGGAAGGGATGGAAATTAATCATCTTCTTCGCCCATGGAGTACTTGTAAGGTCTAACTCGAAATTTCTTATGCCGACGTTTCTTCAGCTGTTTGCCATGAGATTTATGATCATCCAAATAATTTAGAAATTGAATCCGACGCCTCTTGCGCTTCGGGCCTTGTGGTGATGGGGTTTCTACTGCGGGAGGAGGGGTCAGGAAAGCAGGATTTAAGGGTGGTGGAGGGGTGAGGCTTTCTTTGTCAGGTTTTTGAGAGATAGCCGCTTGTGTTAATTCAGGTGTTACATTAACGGGGTTGAGGGGAGTCGAGAATGCTGTCGTTGCTGTCGAAGAATCTTGTGTCCTTGATGTTAAGTCTGGAACAGTGCTGATTATTTCTTCCGGTCGTGTTCTTGTATTTAATTGTTCTTTAAAAGCCAGGTATCTGTTTTGCAACTGAAAGTATCGTTTAGCTTTTTCATCGTCCCGAAGATCGTTTCGAGAAAGCACGTCATCCATGTTGCCCTGTATTTCTTGCATAGCTGGAAGAAGTGGGACAGGTGAAAGAGTTTGCTGCTTTAGATATTTTAAAAGCTCTTGAGGAATATTTTCTTGAAACCCTGCTTGGTTAAAACCTTCTTCACTGGGCAGGACGTTTGTTCGCAGTCGACAATTATCTTGGGTAGTAGTTTTCAGATCAATCAGCAGATAACCAAAAGGTCTTTTTACAGCCTCCTCGTACTGATTTAAAAAGAAATCAGTTTGCCCGGGATACATTTGCGTGGCAAGAGTCAAGATTTGCAATTCGTCCTGTGGATTCTTGAATAGCACCAAATAATGGCTGTTTAGGCTTATGCTGCGACTACCTTTCCCCTGGTGAAATAGATTCTGCACGATCACGCTTAGATTGCGATGATGAGAACCACGAGTAAAGAGGTTCACAATTCGCTTGTCTTTACTGGCGTCAATCATCTGATCATCAAACACGATCAAATTCCGTTTGTTCACGTCAAAATAGGAATCCTGCTCCAAAGCCCTAGGAATTCCCTTGACGAATTCAATGTTTGGCATGGCGATTAACATTTGTGTATACGCAGGCTGCCATTGTGAATAACACCAAACGATCCTCTCTGGGGGAGGATAAATGGTCTCTGAAGCTTGTTGCAATAGCGATCGAACCCAGGCCGTTTTTCCCGACCCGGTCATTCCGGCAATCATGGAGGTGAAAGGGTGCTCGAAGCGAAACCGCTGACACTTCTGTGAAAATATTGGAACTGTTTGAAATGGGGTGAGACCAGCATTGCGGTGTTTAGACATCACGTGCCTTTGCATATTATCTTTTCTACTAAAGGACTTTTCGCAGACAGAACAGAGCCAACTCATGTCAACTCCTCAGGAGTAAAATGTAGACTGAGAAAGAGGTAGAATGTTGTGCATTTATATAGGTTTTCAGGCCACAAAATTCTATTGTTTTCCTCCCCTAAAACCACCACTACCACCACCATCACATTTCTATTGCTTTTCCTCCTCCTCCTCCTCATTTCTATTGTTTTTCCTCCTCCTTCTCATTTCTATTGCTTTTCTTCCTCCTCCTCATTTCTATTGCTTTTCCCCCTCCTCCTCATTTCTATTGCTTTTCCACCTCCTCCTCCTCCTCATTCTATTGTTTTCCCTCCACCACCACCACCGCCATCACATTTCCATTGTTTTTCTCCACGACAGTCAATAAAAGACTGCAAACTACTATCATAAGTTCAGTTTGTCGCAATGTCTCAAGTTGTCAAGAACAATCGTGGTTTTCTTCAATTCTTAGCTGTTTGTCCAGCTCATCAGCGACAGTTTCTTTTACGGACAGCCAGTCCAAAACAATTACATGCATTAGTCCAAGTCTTATACAATATACTTAAGGAATACATTCTTATCCCCGAAGAAAATAAGCGGAACGTGTTGCCATATAAGGATGCTCTAGTAAACCTAGCAGAAACAAATGTACCTTACAAAACAAAGAAGCGAATCCTTGTACAAGAGGGTGATGGTTTTATTCAAGACCTATTGATACAACCTAGGATTTTTGATTTATAAAAAGAAACGAAACTAGGATATATCACGGGTACTCATCAAAATTATAAATGAACATGAAAAGCGAAAAGTTTTATCTAGGTCCTTTTTTAGATACTTATAGTAAAAGCCCAAAAAATAATTGAAAATCCAATAGTCGACAAAAAATATTGGATATGAGGTTACCAAAAGCTAAAATATAGATGGACAGATTAGAATTTTGGACAAAAACAAAAGTTGTTAAAAAATAGAAAAGGAAAAAGCTATCGAAAATAGAAAATCATTATCATGTGAGGTATTCACAAATGAGGATAAATATCAAAACTATCAGCCATGATCCTGAAACAGAAAAAACCAAAATAATATATGAACGTTCGAAAACTAATTTCATTGATCATGAAATGAAATGCTTTTGGGATAACTTAGATTTATTATTGCGAAAATCGAGGAGAGAAAATACATCAAAAACCGGTTCAAACAAAAAACGCCAAGACGTCCAATTTTTATTCACCTTGTAAAGAGGAGAACGAAGAAAATTTAATTTAATTTAAATTTAATTTATTTGACTCTTTTTGTCACTGGTTTTCAATAAAGTTTTTAAAACTGTATCTCGTGTCTTGTCAATTTATTTGTAGCGTGTTTAAATTGATCCCTGTTAAGTTATCAATTGTTTGTGCTTTTACAATAATAAGTCAAGGTGCTCCCTTGGGTCTAGCTGTAGAGATGAACTAATTTGTATTCAACTTTAGCCTTGTTAGCCCGCATAATTAACTGACTAACGCCAACGGAGCCTAAATTGACAAAACCATAAGCTCATCAAGCGCTGAGATTTCAATAGTTAATCGTTTCCTCGAGATGGAACGGAGAAAACGCTTTTGTAATGGTGAGTCAAAATTGAAGTAGAGAGTTTTCAGTTCCACTTTTTGTATGTGTGTGTGTTTTGTTATGTATCCGATATTTAGCGCTAAATAAGAAGACCTGTGTTACTAGGGGATCGCATCTCTTAGTCCCTCTTTTTTATAAATAGACTTTCCACTCATTAGGAACAAGAATGGAGTTGATTTAAGAACCAAAAGAGTTATATAGGGTTTACTTTAGAACCACCTGTTGTTTTCTATAGAATTTTGATACCCTGTGTAATACTTTCTACAGATTCAAGTAAACAAAAAATGTCATTTTTGCTTGATAGGCAGTTTTTCGCTTCGCTGAGCTTCGACCTCGTTTTCATGTTTTGCCCGAAAAATTAGTACGATTTCGCATTCCCTTAACCTCCTTTTTCCTTCTTTTGAAGTAAAGATTTTTCAGTTAACGTCCGTGTCTTGGTTTTGC